TTATCAACCGAAGCAAGACAGTAAAGCCATTAAGACACAATGGGTTACAGAGTTGGGAAGAATTAGGAAGTGGAAGATTAATAATGAGCCGGAAGAGGAAAGCGTAATCTTCAGGACATTAGATGGCGATTGACATTGAATTTAAATTTTTGCACATGAATGCTGGCTCTAAAACATGGATCCAAAAGCGAGAACTGAGAGAAAAGAAACTATTAACATAAAACTTAAGGCAATATCTAGGCAGCTCAACGCTTAAATTTTTGAGATCTCGACGCCAGTCTAGTACTAGGCTTAAATTCAAAAAGTCTAAGCAACAGAGCGAAGAGCATATCTGGGCAATTACAATCAAATTATTTATAAAAAAAGACAGAGAATATAAAGGAATATCGTATATATATATATATATATATATATATATATATATATATATATATATATATATATAAACTTCCAAGAGGATAGAATACAGATAGAGCTCAATGTCCAGGACAGAGCAAAGAATACAATATAAAGTCTCAAACTCTAGATTAATGGTTATAATTTATTACAATAGAATCGTAATCACGATTCAATTCATCAGAGCTAGAAATTAAAAAAAATGTGAAGTTGTAGGTCTGATAAATTGGATCGTGATTGACATTCCGATGTAATAAATTATAACCATGGAATATTACAGTTTGAGCCTTATATATATATATATATATATATATATATATATATATATATGTGTGTGTGTGTGTGTGTGTGTGTGTGTGTGTGTGTGAGAGAGAGAGAGAGAGAGAGAGAGAGAGAAATAGAAAAAAAAAAAGAGATAGTTACTTTTTTTTCTCACGGTTAGACCAAGTCTGTGTTTCATGGCCGATTAGTTGCTGGCAGTAAACTGAACGTTGCATTATATGAATTCTGATATTTATATGGTACAGTAAGGTTAGTTGAGTAGTCCCTCTATTAGGACCTTGAATAAGTTCTCGTACTTTTCCATTATATGACTTTACAAGAACTGATTTTGTGTAGTTTCAGAAGATAATGCATTTATAAAGAAGAACTCACTGTATGCCATTTCTCTGAAGTGTAAACAACTTTGTTTTTCATGGGGTTAAACATATAGGATTTCGTGTTGAAATACATATAATTCTTGTTGAGATTTAGGGTGACCCTGCTCTGTCGGAAACAATATGCAGTGCTTGGTTTAGACACTACAAAAATAATTATTTTTATGTTGAATATAAAGAACGCTCTTGAGCAACGAAAAAGTTTGAAGACGAAGAATTAGAGGCATTATTTAATAAACAATCATGTCAGGCTCGAGCTGAACTTGCAGAATCATTAGGAATTGATCGCTCAAGAGTTTCGAAACGTTTGAAAGCATAAGGAATGATAAAAAACAAGGACATTGGGTGCCGTAAGAGTTGAAATAACAGAGACGTCGATCGACGTCTTGTTATGATGTGTCAACATCTGTTTCAACAGCAGAAAAGGGAAGGTTTTTTGCATCGTATCCTGACCGGCGATGAAAATTGGATACACTATGATAACCCTAAGCGTAGAAGATCGTGTGGTAAGGCCGGCCATGAATCAGCCACGGCGGCAAAATCCGAATATCCATCGTTCGAAAATAATGTTCTGTATTTTGCGGGATCAGCTGGGTGGAGTTTATTATGAGCTGCTCATACCAAACGAATCAATCAGGGGTTATCGCCATCAACTACAATTGATGCGTTTGAGGCGAGCATTGAAGAACGGTCGCTATACGAGAAGAGACACAACAAAGTCATTTTACATGACAACGCTAGGCTATATGTTGCAAAAAGTGTTAAAACATTTGGAAGCGCTTAAAAGGGAAGTTCTTGAATATTTGTCCAATTACAAAGAACATATAATGACTCGGATTGCAACCTGTGATTTTCAGCAAGTTCAACGCCTCGACATCATTGAACTATTTTCTCGATTTTATATTTAGACCGAATCATTATCATTTCATTTTCTTTCTTTCTTTCTTTCTTTCTTTCTTTCTTTCTTTCTTGCTTTTATGACCTCTCTCTTCTATCTGCATTTTTATTACTTTTTTTTAAATTTTTTTCTTATTTTGAGGAAATGCCATTAGAATCTATATATCTAAAACCAACTATATGGTTAAGATACGTAGATGACACCTTCATACTCTGACGACACCAGGAAGATGTTCAGGTTCTACTGGTCCCTGTGAACTAAAAAAACCTTCGATACAGTTCACAATGGGGAAAGAGAATGACAACACACTCCCATTCCGGGATGTTCGAATATCACGAACAGAGCATGGGTTTAAGCCATCCATATACCTTAAACCGACATTCACCGGACGGTACCTCAATTTCAACTCCCACCATCCATACAGCATAAACAAAGAGATCGTCCGCTGCTTACAACACCGAGCGAAATTTATGTGGTGACCCAGAAACCTTTGATAAAGAATTATATCAGTATAAGTAGTACCCAACAACGTAACAACTACCTTGAGTACATGGTACATCTGCGATCCATATAACATCAGGACAAACTTCAAAAGCTTGACGACACTTCGCAGATATCTCTCCCGAGTAAGAGCCCCCCGATAGAGGAGAACATGACTAAAGACTGTCTGTACGCTATCCCGAGCAGCCTCGGAAAGAAATATAAAGGGAAGACAGGCCGCCCCTTATAGTAAGGCTTCAAGAACACCAGTAAGCTGTAACACGAGGGGAAGTGGAAAAAATCAGGCGTGTCTGACCACATATGGAGAGATAAGGGAGATCACCGCCATCTGTGGGATCAGGTTGAGATCAAAGACAAAGAATAACATTGGAAAATTCGTAAACTTAAGTAATCAGCACATACGCTAGGCCACAAAAATATACTGAGCAGAACAAGCATAGAAATGAATACAATATGGGAACCAGCAATAAGGAGTGCCAGAGAAAAGCAATAATGACAAAAAAAATTCCAATATGGGTTCTGGTAAAAACATAAGAGAATAACTTCAAAAATTGCAATATGTGCGCTGGTAGAAATGGTTGCAGAAGAAATTAGTTTAATTTATACACATATGCCATCAAGAACACATGGCACAGTGGATAAAGGCGTTAGTTAGATCCAATGACAGGCCGCAAAGTGTGTGATTTCAGTAGCCGGTTAAGGCAGTAGAGAACTTTCAGAGGGAAAATTAACAAGAGATAACTGGTAACTGACATCCGTGGAACTAGAACCGTCTACCTCATTGAGCGAAATAAAGGGTTCAGTTTCATATTCCTATCACCTGAAGAAGGCCGGAGTGTACAACGACCGAAACGTTGTAATAAATCTGGTTAAAAGATGAGGACAATAATACGAATAATGTAAATAATATATATGTCTCTGTGTGTGTGGACATAGATACAAAAAAGAAAGACAGAATAAATGATAGCGAAAGAGACATACTCTATGGACAGCTCTGTTTGTGTATCGTAATGAGACTGAATATTATTGACATCAAAATATTTATTCTCAAGAAAACATTGTTTTTCATCCACATGTTCATATTCTGTTAAAAAAATTTATATTTTTATTCTTTCATCACTTTGCAAATAATTCATTCCTTTTTCTTCTATTTCTATCCAATTTTTTTAAAAGATTCTCATAAAGTCTCGTTTTTATCAACAAGATCATTCGAATCATATACAACAAAAAATAAGCTTATGAACGAATAAATTCAACGGTGTTGTTTGATAAAAAGCTCTACGGATATAAACCGTTATTTTTCGTACAATCTTGACACCAGCCGTAGAAAAGAAAATATGCAGTTTAGCTTAGATTGCAAAGAGCAATTTTAGCTTATTTTAGCTGACACATCTTCGATGTCGCCATTTCCTTTTTATGTTCAATGTAAATTGTCTGCTTGTTTCATTTTTTTTAAATAACTCATTTATTCATTTTCCTTCATTTCATTCAATTCCTTTTCTTATTGTTTTTATTTCAACTTTGATTTTCTTTCATTTATTTATTTTTTTTTTTTTGCATTTATTTCTCTTCCGTTTTATAACTTTTAATTTATGTTTTCATTTTCATAACAGTTTGTGTACAAAAAAAAGATTCTTTTGATGTTTTTGTCTGACCTAGCATTATTACCGCGCCAAGGGACATTTTGGGAAAAAGTTAGTTTCTGTTTACACTTTTTTGCTGAACACATTTGTCTTCATCTAAGACGACTTGAATAATAAACCTCAAAGAATAGTTGTTGAATATTTGTCCAATTACAAAGAACACATAATGACTCGGATTGCAACCTGTGATTTTCAGCAAGTTCAACGCCTCGACATCATTGAACTATTTTCTCGATTTTATATTTAGACCGAATCATTATCGTTTCATTTTCTTTCTTTCTTTCTTTTTTCTTTCTTTCTTTCTTTCTTTCTTTCTTTCTTTCTTTTATGATCTCTCTCTGCTATCAGCATTTATTATTACTTTTTTAAAATAATTTTTCTCCTTCTCTTATTTTTTTTCTTTATTCTATCCAAATCTCATACTTTTTGATTTTCTTTCTTTTTTCTTTACTTTTCTCATTTGTGTTTATAATTTTACATTCTCTGCAAAATACACAATTTATTTCTCTAATTATTTTATGTCCAGTTTTTCTCTCTAAAGATTTTAGAATCTATTTTATATCTAATATTTCTGTTCAACCTCATTAATATTTTGGCTTTCTATCTATATTCCAACAATCTCCTTCTTTCGTCTTATCTTTCATTTCATATCTTAATTTTTTAAAATTTTAATTACTTTCTGTTTTCTTTTAGTTTTATATCTTGTCTCCTCTTCGAATTTATTCTTTTTTTTTTCTTTTTCTTTACATCGTCGTTTTATTGAATTTTCTATCTAGTAACGTTTCCTCTTTTCTTTTACTGTTTCATGTGTTATTGACTCTGTAAATTCATTTTATTTGTTCTTACATTTTCCCATTTCTACCTATTTAATATTTCCCTCTCTTATTTTCCATTCTTATTTTATTCATGTTTCATTTGTTTGTAACTTATTCTCGCTGCAAACTAAATTCTTCTTACTTTTTTTCGTAATTTCTTCACATTTCTATCTCTTCATTTTTCGCGTGTTCATTCTTTCATCCATTCTTCATTTTTAGTTTTTATGACATCTCCCGTTATTTTGTTTCTCATTCTCTCGGTAAATGAAATGTTGTTTCTTTTTCTCTTAATATTTTTAAACAATCCACATTTTCCTGTGGCCTTAAATTCATTCATTTATACATTCATTCATAAATTCGTTCACTCAGGGCTGCTTTGTTTCAATCGGGTGATCTAATAATTCTGTTTTTGCGTATAAATTTACCAGTTGTTTTGCATTCAGCTGATATTATTTGTTTCTTCCTTACAGGCACACAGATTTCACACACACACACACATACATACATATATATATATATATATATATATATATATATATATATATATATATATATATATATGTGTGTGTGTGTGTGTGTGTGTTTGTGTGTGTGTGTGTGTTATTTTATCATTTCTAATACAACCTGTCATTTTTCAGCGTTTTGTTTCATTTCGGTCTTAACCATTTCTTTAGTCATTTAAACCTGAACAACATTTTCTTTCACGCAATCTATTTCTAGGCCATTTTTTTTTTGTGTATATTACTATCTACTCTTTATATTTTTCTCGTTTATTTTTTGTTTTATTGTTACCATTTTTTCTTTTTCGTCCATCGATTTCTTTTGTTGTATAAACACGGAAGTGATGATTACTGTTTTCCTGTTTCTTCTTTATACGCTCTTAATATTGCTTTTCGACATTTTTTTTCTTGAATGCTTTGGTTTTTATTTTGTAAATTACCCGGATTTTTTTCAGTTCATTTTTTCCCCCTATATTTGTCTGGGTCTAACTCGATTTAATACCTTCTTTTGCAGTATATTTTTTTTTTTTTTTTTTTTTTTTTTTTTAACAGTGACTTAATTTCTGTCTCCTGTTCTTCATATTTGTTTATTTTTTCGCTTTTCTTTTGACTGTCTCATAAATAACAAATCCTTTCATTTCTGTTTTATATGTCGACTTTTATATTTTGTTTATTTTTTCCCCTCTGTAGGAGACAAGGGATTATTACTTTCAACATTTGCTTGTGACTTACTTATAAATAACCGTACTGTACTTTGTTTTACATCTCTTTGACTCTGTAGTATATTTATTTTTATTTAATTATTTTTAAGACATTTTGTGAGATTTCTCGTGTCATTAAAAAGGGTTGCATATCATATCTTGTAGGCTAGTGTAAGAAAATGTAATTACAAAAACAAATAATTTCCCTGGCACACACACAGAGCCACGATTAATTTGACAAATTACCTAGGCGCATTTAGAAAAAAACAACAATTTATTTATAAGCAAAATATATATATATATATATATATATATATATATATATATGTGTGTGTGTGTGTGTGTATATATATATGCATGCATACATGCATATATATATATATATATATGTAAATATGTATATATATTTATGTATATATATATATTTACATGCAACATATATGAATTTTGCATACGTACATACGGATGCATACACACACATATAATTATAATATATATATATATATATATATATATATATATATATATATATATATATATATATGCATGTATACAGACATATACAACATTCACACACCCACATATAAAAATATATATATATATATATATATATATATATATATATATATATATATATATATATATATATATATATATATATATATAAAATGTGTGTGTTAATTTTTTTTTTAATAATAAACTTAAAGACCAGCATTCAAACACTCACCGACACAAACTTATGCACGCAAACACACAAAAAGGTACAGGCGAGTTTATGTATACTGCTGTATTTGTCTAAATTTCTGAGATGTGCAGTTTTCATTATTTACACTATTTCCATGCTGATTATTGTCTTAATCTCTCTTGATTCTTTAACCGTCGGCCTTCATCGAGGTTTTATCGATCCGTGTAACCTCCAGGGATTTCTGAACTGTGCCCTTTATTAATCTATTGTAGACTTTTTTCGATACCCTGGCGATATCTAGGTATATCTATCCCGGTTCGCGTATGCACTAACAAATTACTTGGGAATTCAGTCCCTAGGATGGACAAGGACTAAAACTGTAGAAACAGGACGGGCAATAAACACGCAGTACTAAAAAATAACAAACTTGACGTGATATCCGAAGACATGTGCAGCGGAACTAGAAGAGAATATTCCCGTATTTTAAGAGTGTCCAGTTTGAAAATCCCTGTAGTTTGCACGGATTGATGTATGCCGGATGATGACAGTCGAAACATTGTGATAACAATGACAAATTTATTGAAATTAGTCCGCATTAAATATTGTTAACGATAGTGTATGTTTTTTTTCTAAAATTTATCTATATATAATAAAGTGTTTTTTTTTTATGTTTGCTCAAATTTTTCAGGTATATTATTCATCCCCTTCATGGGTTTTAAGCAATGAGCAGGGTGACAACATCCTAAGACTAACCTTCGAGCTTGATAATGATATCAGTCCTTACCTGCATCTCGGTACCGATCTTATTCCGACTGACGTTACGTCGGTTCCCTTTGCCACGCTACAAAGTTTTTAATCCGATTGTTCTTATTATCAAACTCTTTGGAACCTCATCTTCCATAATTCAAGTGTTTTAATATATTGGCATTTAGTTTTTTGATGTTTGTAATCAATTCCTCACAATTAAGGCGGCAATGTCGCTAGTACAACAGGGGATTAAATGAAGAGAAATCGCCGATTGATAATAGAAGTACTGAGAAAATGACAATAAAATAAATAGGGTTCGATATATTTCTTATATTTCTTCTTTTCTCATAAGTAAAAAGTTAACTTCTACTTCTTTTACAAAATTGGCATTTTTTTCTTCTGAAAAAATCCTTTATTTTCTTCTTCTTTTTTCTCCTCCCGTTCAACTTTTTTCTACTTCTACTACAACTTCTTCTTCATCGTTATCTTTACTTCTTCCATATATCTTCTCCTTAATTCACCTTTCTTTTTTTCTTCTTCATCGTCAAGGAAATTTTTTTCTCCTTTTTTCTCTTTTTTCCTCTTCCTTATACAACTTCTTCTTTATTCTTCTTTCCTCCTCTATCTCTTCTTCTTCATCATACACCTATATATCTTCTTATTCTTTTCTTCCTTCTTTTTCTTCCTTTTTCTCCTCCGTTCTTCTACTACAACTTCAGACTTCTTCGCATTCTTCTCCTCCTCCTCTTTACTTTTTCTTCTTCATCATCTTCTACTTTCCTCTTCCATATAGTATATCTTCTTATTCTTTTTCAGGATTACCTCCTTCTTTTTTTAAATCTAAAGAGGGATAAATGCCAGTTCTTTTACTATTCTTCTGCATTCTTCTCCTATATATTTCTTTTCTTCTTCATTTTTCTACTCCTCTTCCATATATATCTTCTTTTCTTTTACAAATTACACCTCCTTCTTTTTCTTCTTCCTTTTTTTCCTTGCCAGTTCTACTTCTACTTTTTTTAAAAATTTTTTAAATCTTCATCGTCAAAATTTATTTATATTTCTTATTTTTTGGATACCTCCTTTAAAAATCTTCTCTTTTTTCTCCTCCAATGGAAAAAACATTCTTTTCTTCTTTTCTTCTCCTCCTGATAAAAAATTCTTCTTCTTTTTCTTCGTCTTCGTTTGGGGTAGAAGTTTTCTTCTGAAGATTGAAATAAAAAATTTTCAAAATTTATTTGTCAGGAAATAGAGGAAAAGAAGAGATTTAAAAGGAAAAGAAACGTTTGGGGTTTTAAGTAAATAAGAACTTATTTCGTATAAAAGAGTAGGACCTCAATCCCAAACAAGTAATATTTATAAATCCATGCGTTCGGGACAACGGGGAAGAAAGCCAGTCAGAGTTGTTGACACGAGAATATTTCTAGAAAAGTCAGAGATAAGCTATTTCACGTCGGAGAGAAGGTGACTGAAGTCGAGACAATTTTTTTTATTTTTTGTAAGACCTTTAATCCTTTATATATGTATGTGTGCCTGTGTGTATACATTTCTGCATATATATATATATATATATATATATATATATATATATATATATATATATAGGGTGACCCCCAAAAATGGGAATTTTTGAAGTGCGTATTGCCAGACACGATTTTGGCAACACTGCGAGACAGTGACCTTCAGCAAGTAAACATTTCGCTATTTAGAATTCAAGATGAAATTCACAGTATCCCAGCTGAGATGTTGCAGCAGTCAATGAGGAATCTCAACAGCAGATTTCAAGAATGCATTCGTACAGGAGGACGCCATCTGCAGGACATAATTTTAAAAAAATGAAAATTCCATCATTGTTTCTTAAATGGCATCTTTTAAGGTTTCAATTACTATGAATAAAATATTTTTCTTCCATCTCTCTTGGTATTATTGGATTGTTAAATAGTTCCCATTTTTTTGGGTCACCCTGTATATATATATATATATATATATATATATATATATATATATAGTTGTTTTTTTTAATTCATATATATATATATATATATATATATATATATATATATATAGTATATAGTATATCATATATATTCATATTTAAAAGTAATTTGAGGTGAATACAGTTATCTAAGCGTATAGATATATGAGATTGCAGGAAAATATAGATCAAGAAAGAAATGCATTGGGAGAAAAAAACATTCGCACTGTCCATATGAGAGAAGATAGAAATATAGGTGGACAGATTGGAGATTGTCAACAAGACTCTCCTATTAACACCAATATATGGCTGACAGCCGTAGGCAATCTTTTACAAATAGAATTCTCTTCCACTTTGGTCAAAACAATGTACGGCTTCCAAAAATGACGGAGAACTACACAGTCCAAATTGAATACTGCCCAATAGACGATCGCAACCGGCGGTTGGGAAAGCTCTAAGCTATTTTTGGTTGGCTAAGAAAAAAACAAGGACAAAATTGTATAGACAAATTGTTTAGGTAATTGCTTGAAATGCGTTTATAAGGGAAAGGGAAAAGGTACAAGAATGTGTTTTTCTTAGTTTATATATGACAAATAATGTTTTTGTATTTTAAAACTGAGCCAAGTGTGGTACATGTCCACAATTCTAAGAGTGATACGTAATTGCATATATACGATCGGTTTCCATGCACAATTCTATGGCTGGTACGTTTCTAATTGTTTGAATGTAATTCATCTAAAAATCTCATTTCTTAACACCACTAAATTTTTTGGCGCATTTACATTTTCTTCTTCTTCTTCTTCTTCTTCTTTTTCTTCTTCTTCTTCTTCTACCTTTGCTCCTCCTCCTCTTTACTCTTCTTCTTCATCGTCATCTTCTACTACTCCTCTTCCTTATATTTCTTCTTATTCTTTTTCTCATACACCTCCTTCTTTTTTCTTCTCTTTTTTTCTCCTCCACGTTCTACTACTTCTACTACAACTTCTGTTTCTTCGCATTCTTCTCCTCCTCCTCTCTATTCTTCTTCTTTTCTTATTCTTCTAAGATTTCTTCATTTACTCATCCTCCTCATCCTTCATCTAGTTGTTGTTCTTCTTCTTTCTTAACCATTCCTTCAATATTGCCTTTCAATTTATGACAGGATTGATGGTAACCTTACAGATTTTATGCGGAATCAAAGATTTAAATCCTGAGACTTTTATAATTTTGGACATCAAATCGCCACAGATGTGAATCTTGTTTAATATTATTGCTTCGTGAATTTGTATTAAATTGGAAAAAAATATAACCTTTATTGATTTTCATGATTGAAAACATAATAATTTCAAAACTTCCAACTTAGATTTAATAAATCAAATTTTAACGCAAAGGAATGAAATATATTGTGTTTTTACTTTTAGGAGTGCTAAACCATAATAAGATTTCGGAATTGTATACCTGCTTGTTAAAAGCTAATCATTCTCTATCAACAATATTGCAAATTTGCTAAGATCTATTTCTGCTCCTTCTTCTAGATCGAATCTTCTATACATTTTTTTTATCATTCTATGCCTTTATAACTGTTCTATTTTATAATGAGTTGTACTTGTCAACCTATTACAGTATTACATTTATAAATGAAAATGTATTATACATCTATATATTTTTGTGAGATCATTTCAAGAGACGAAGTCTCAATCTTATATACTTGGGCAAGTTGTTCAGCCTATACACCTACAGTATTATATGCTCTGAAATCTGTACCGGAATACTTATATTGGTTGTTATACACACTACGTTTAGGAGGTATTATTCGTCAGCCTTCTTTTGGTGTCTATATTCGTACTCGTTAATTTGCATTGTATGCCCTGTATTCTATTCAGCTGAATATATTTCCCCAACCCACTTTCAATGCTTCGATATCAGTTAATAGGCATCGGTCTATTTCACATTTTCCTCGATTGTCTTTTTCGGGCACTGAAGGAATTTCCCTGATAAAGTCAAGAAGTTTCGTAAGCTGGCACCTGAAGAAGGCTGTTGGATAAAATGGCCAAAACCTAGTGATTATAATAATTATGATAGGGAAGTTGGTCCAAACAGCAAAGCATACAGTACGGTATGTCTGCATAGAAATTTTATATTATCATCATTATCATCATTATCAGTCTCCTTATCGGCTGTAATCGTAGGGTATCTGCGCACCTAAAAACCTGACGAGATCCTTCTATATATCTGCATTAAATGCCGAAGAGATATTATTTCACGCGTAGCGTTCCTTTGTGTTATGTTGTGGCGAACCAATTTTTTTTTCTTCCACCGAATGAGTTCGAATCGCTCATCGCCATTGTTATGGTCCGGTTCCTTGTACCACGGTGATAATCCAAGTTAGAACCAATAAAGAAGAACTCGAACACGGATATGGAATAATACAGATATATTACAAACAAGAATATATACAGAGAAGTAGAAAGTGTTAGTACAAACAATCAGGTTTAGTAGTAATTGTCTGAACACGACTCTGTTTCGGACTGCCTCTGACTCGACTGACTGACTGGCTCGCTTTGACTGACTGACAGACTCCTGACGGACTTGACTCCAGATTTCAGACTGAGCTCGCTGCTTCCTCTTGAGGCGCAGTATTTATTACGTATGGAATAGTCCATTATGTTACTATGGGTAAGGTCCCATAACAATTTGTTAAATGGGACTGGCGAAGCCCAGCGCTATACAGGATATATCAATATCATAACTGCTCTTTCTGCAAAAATATGTATAGCGCATGGCTGCATTTCTTCTGCTAGATGACTAGTGATATTAAAACAAATTTCAACAACCTTTTGACAGGTTTTATTTTCTAGCCTTTTGGATATCGACAATGCTCTGATAGACAAAACTATAGATAGTCACTTAATAATTTATTAGAGTCTATGTGAATATTCATATTCATCGCATTATATAGTGGGACACTTCCTATAGATGATCATGAACTCATTATGGTATAGCTCAGAATTTAAATACATTTTGATCTTAACATATTTTATAGTGTCGACACCTTTATGTGATCATTACCATCATCGTTCCAAGGTATGTAAAAATATATAATAATAATTATTTTTTGAGGGTAGAATATTATTTGATCATTTTCTATTTGCTTCTGGATAAGATTCATTTTAGATTTGTTTTTTTTTATTCATATTTTAATTTTTGTTTCTCATCTTGTACTGGGAGTAATTGCTCGAATAATAATAATGATAATAATAACAATAATAATAAACAGAAATATGTAAATGACAAACGTATAATGAAGATTAATTTAAGGCAAGGTTTAACAATACACCAAAAATGGAAATCCCCAGGAAGTTACCAGACTATGGGTCTATCATCTCTCATCAATCCATAAAATTCTTGCGAAAATATTATTAAAGCTAATTAATAACCCCAATGAGATTCCAGAATCACTGAGGATATTGCATATCTCATATCAAATGCAGGGGAAACAGATGATCAAAAAAATAGACCAATGTCTATCCACCGCATATAAATTGATCCCATCAGTCATGACGAAATGTACTTCCTCTTTTGTCGATAAAAACAACATTCTTCCTATGGAACAGAAAGGATGCTGAAGAGGTTCACATGTTATAAGATCAACTCTGTCCTGGGTATGACGATAAACTACATCCAACAGCAAGGCCTCTGATCAGAAGGTTTTGTGTAGCGTTGTACCACCTCTTAATTGCTGATGTTTGATGGCAACTAATTAACCCACAAACTGGGGTCAAAACACTATGAAAGTGTAAAAATACGTTTTAAAACGAGAAATACTCTGGAAACAGAATATCAGAAATACATTTTTGAAAAATAAATATTAACAGCAAAAGAAAATTCTTACCAGAAAAAGAT